GCCGATTCCACCGTTGTGTTAAATGGAGATTAAAATGACATTGTTAATGTAAAAATGTCATTTTAAACTTCTTTTAACACAACGGTGGAATCGGTCCTAAGACATTTTTCTTGAATGAATAGTAATAGACTTTAGAAAAACATAATAACGTAACATTTAAACCAAAAAAGTAATAGATTTATTACGAAAGCAATAACAAGAACAATCCTGGAATACCTAATCTATGCCCTGGAATCATATGAATGATGAGAGCAGCATTGTCAAACGTACGACAATTATCGTATTTGTATGGTAAAGTTAAAAATCTGATGTGTCCAACACATGACTTTCCTATCTAGTTATTACAGGCTTTTTCCGTTTATTGTGTACAACCTATTGCAGCATCTCTATAAATGTTTAGAGGATAAACTAAATATATACATTGTCCACATACATCTACCGCGAAACATTTTTCTATAGATATTCATTGAAAATGAAAATACTGAAAAATTTAAATTTAGAACTTTTCCTACAATTTTTCCATTACGGTCCATTTAAAAAAAATCATGTATGAACAAATATTATAGAGATCGATATCGCAAACAACTTTTATTTCAACAATTTTCATAAAAATCAGAATTTTGCACATTTTGTCAAATTTCTCGAATACGGACCATTTCAGGAAATTTTTACATAAAACAAAAATTATAGATAATAATATTAGAAGTAACTTTTATTTGAACAATTTTTTTCTCCAAACATAAATAACAGATATATTCCATAAAATATAAAAATGGCCTCCCATAAAGTACCCCCCCAGATGTTCCGACTTTGTCCAAAATCTAATCATTTCACGTCAGGCCGAAATAAAACTTAAGTTTAAAATTTATTGATTTTTTTCTTTATCCGTTTTTGAGTTTTCTTCAAATTTCGAAATTTACACATTTTCTCAAATATCTCGAATACGGTCCATTTTAGAGAAATTATCTATGGGATAAAAATTATAGAGAATTATAATACAAACAACTTTTGTTTGAACAATTTTTATAAAAAAAATATTTTTTTACATTTTGTCAAATTTCTCGAATACGGACCATTTTAGGAAAATTTTGTATATAACAAAAATTATAGATAATAAAATAAGAAGTAACTTTTATTTAAAGAATTTTCTTCCCCAAACGTAAATAACAGATATATTCCATAAAATATAAAAATGACCACGTATAAAGTACCCCCCCAGATGTTCCGACTCTGCCCAAAATCTAATCAGCTCATTAGACGCTACAACAAAGCTTAAGTTTGAAATTTGGTGTTTTTCCGTGTATCGGTTCATGAGTTATGCGTTATACACACACACATACACACACACACACACACACACACACACACACACACACACACACACACACACACACACACACACACACACACACACACACACACACACACACACACACACACACACACACACACACACACACACACACACACACACACACACACACACACACACACACACACACACACACACACACACACACACACACACACACACACACACACACACACACACACACACACACACACACACACACACACACACACACACACACACACACACACACACACACACACACACACACACACACACACACACACACACACACACACACACACACACACACACACACACACACACACACACACACACACACACACACACACACACACACACACACACACACACACACACACACACACACACACACACACACACACACACACACACACACACACACACACACACACACACACACACACACACACACACACACACACACACACACACACACACACACACACACACACACACACACACACACACACACACACACACACACACACACACACACACACACACACACACACACACACACACACACACACACACACACACACACACACACACACACACACACACACACACACACACACACACACACACACACACACACACACACACACACACACACACACATCATCGCGAAAATAGTCAAAACGGATTCAGGGGACCTCAAAACGTAAAAATCCGTCGAAAACTCGAGGTCGAAAAAAATCATGATTCCTATACTTTCCTTATATCTGTATACAGATAGGAAAGTAAAAATTGCCCACTTTTTCGGAATTTTTATTTTGCAACTGACGACCTAGACTGAGTCTAAGTATCACGGTTCAAAAGAAAAGAGGGGGAGGGGACTTTTGAGAAGCACTGTATCCCAGACAACACACCAAATCCAAGAGATATCCACAGAATATCTTTTGTGGATATCCAATATATCTACAGGATATCAGAAATATTCCGTGGATCTGATATGGATATCCAAATTTCCGTCTATATCCAGAATATAGAAGATATCCTAATGGAATGGATATTCAGCAAAATATCTATATAATGGGTATCTTCCAGAAAATACAAGAAATCCCAGAGATATCCACAGAATATATTTTGTGGATATTCAATATATCCAATATGGATATCCAACCAAATGTCCGTCTATATATCCCAGGATATAGAAGATATTCGGATATTCAACGAAATATTTTATGAGTATCTTTAGTAGAGGTTCGTAAGTAACCAATGATTATTGAATAACGCCGAAAGAAAGTAGCAGAGATAAAAAATATTTTCAACATTCAAAATATTTTCAACACTCTGCCTTTGATTTTGCCCACTAAGGCGAAAGTCATCCTTATTAGGACTCTTCAGCAATAAATGAAAATTCTCGACTCCAGTCTCTAATGGAGTGATTAGGACACACATTTCGATCGAACTCAATTACGGCGGGTCGAGCATGAGTAGATGCGATAGTGGTATCGCCATCTATACTTAGTAAGCAGAATCAAATAACATATAGTGGATATCCACGATGGTTTGCGTTCGCGCCTAGACTTTGATATATCATGGGATATTGAATACACCTTAAAAAAATTAATTTTAAATATCTAAATGGTACTATTAGCCACAATGGCGTAATTTTTTAATAATTTGCTGTATAATTACTATTATTTATGGACATTTGCATGTCTATAAATTACATCTCATGGATATAAAATATATATCTACCATGGACTGGACATTCAGTGGATACTGGGATGTTCAGTAGATATCCAAAGGATTTGGTGTGCTGTATGGGCATAGAATATGTAAATTGAATATAAGTTATGGGGAGATATCCAATACAAGGGACAGTTTAAAACAGTTGCGGCTCGGTGACCAAAATATTGAGTAGTTCACAATGACAGAATGTAGATATCAGTATACAGATGTAGGTAACAATCTTTCAGTGTTTTAGAAACGTATAGGTATAGAAAAGTATATAATACCGAAGAATCTGAAAGTTTTTTACCTACATCTGTACTAATACGTATCATTATTCTGTCATTGTGAACCCCCAATATTTTGGACACAAGCCGCTATAATGGTTTAAAATAATTGTTACGATGTACTTCACGAATAAATCACAATAATATATTTTTGCAAACACTGAATAACTAGTTGCGCCACAGAAATTATTTCATTTCTTTTTATACAGTCAACCACCAAAAAATAATTATGTTTTAAAATTATTAAAAAGACGACCTTGCATTTCTTTAGTGACTTTTGTGTAAGTAATATCATTCCATTATAGGTAGGTATGTAACCATAAGATTTTAAAATATACAGAGTAATCTGTGTTTCTATTAGAACACCCTGTAGAGGAAATGTATTGTATATTTTTTTGCCAAAATACCATATTGTGTAGTATTTTTTAAAAATATGCTTCCTTGACGTCACAGTAAAATTAGTGAGATTTTGGAAAAACTACAATCATACATTTGTGAATCACCCTGTAATTAAAAATATTTTTAATTATACGTATGTACTAACGTATTACTAAAACATGTAGTAATGTGTATGTATACAACAGAAATTTATTCTAGCTCGTTAGTTTGAAAATAAAAATTTCTAAACACTAGGCAATTTTCAAGTTGAGCCTATTTACACTTTTGGTTACTAGGTACAGTAACATACCAAAGTTTCAGAAAATTTGACCATTCTTCACTTTACATATGGAAATTCGTGTGGGATTCTTTGGATAATGAATGGATGTGCAAGTTTTAAACCTACATATATGAAATAATGATAAAATTCATGACATCTTTAAAAATGTATAGACAAAATCAGAAAGGATTACATGATTACAAGAAAAAGAAATTATTTTTGAAACTTTAGTTGAACAAGAATAACAACCCATTCTTGTTCAACTATATATTTATTCAATAAAATTATCTAATTACCATAACCCTAATCCCATAAACTCTTAAACTAACCAGCCTCCGATAACGCTACACTAGTAAGGTCAGTTTGATAAAATTATGAGAAAACAAGAAAGATAATTTCTATGCATTGTACAATTTGATTTTGGTCGTCTGGCAACGCTGGTGATGAAGCAGTCTACTTCTGTGCAGTCGACTCGCCATCAAGTAGGAGAGTGTAGGGACACTCTCATGAGTTCAAGAATTAATAGGGTACCAAGACAGGTATTCTTATGTGCACGTAACGAATTGAATAGAGAGACATTACATACGAATCACATTCTGTGGAAGGAAGATAGTCATCTCAACACATGCCGAATTGAAATATGAGAATCCCAATGCTGATAGAGAATTGTAATGCAGATGACTTTTTATGTTTACACTGTTATCAGCAATGCATTTCTAATTTTCCTTGCACAGACAATTTATTTTATAACTATTAATGTTGTTTTATTCTCTCCTATTCATGTAAAATTGTTAATATTAATTAGTTTTTTCATAATTGAAAAGAAGTCAAACTATAGATATTTAGCGTTTTTTACATTTAACAACTCAGAAAAGAAAAATAAGTATTTAACATACTAATAGTTTAAACAATGTATTACTTTTTTTAAATATTTACAATTATCTAAAAAACATTTATTTACTTATTTATAAATTTGGGTATCATTTTTTTAGAATATTCACATTACAATTTAAAAATTTAATAAAAACGTCATGTAATTGACAAAATAAGCTTATAATTTATTATTCAACCGTGTCAAAGTATCATCCACCTAAAAAGAAATTAAATTAATGAATTGAAGCATTTTAGATCACTAAAATTATTATCTTCCAGGGCTCAGTCCCTTGGATAATATTCTGATACATGTATGTTTTTTACTTTAAAAACTATTAATAGAGACAAAATATTTCTTACACATTGAAACCAATAGGTGTTTGGTTTAAATACCAATCTACTGAAAAATCCCATTTCTGATGCAGGTGATATTACATGGAGGTGAAGATGACTTATTGAATTAAAAGGAGGGCAATGAAATCCTAGTCTTACATCATTTACATCACCTCCATTATCTTCTAGAACCTTTTTACCAATTTGTACCATTCTTTCAACTAAAACACAAATCTAATTTATTAGTTTTAAATGACTTTTTGTCTGTCTGTGCTGTGAGTAATGTCTTGATACACGAATATTTCAAAATATACTCACTTAACAATTTATCTTCTTGAGAAACTAAAGAGTTAATGCTAGGTATATGATTTTTTGGTACAACCAAGAAGTGATGTTTGGCAGCTGGTTTGATGTCTGCAAATACTATAATTTCATCGTTTTCAAATAATATTGTTGCTGGAGCTTCACGAGTTAAGATTTTACAGAAAATACAATTACTATGTGCCATCTTCAATTTAAAATATTTCTGAAAAATCGTAATGTAAATGAATGGCGAATAAGGAAATATTTCTAAAACATGACAACAGTGAAAACTTGTTTTAAACTATCATTATTAAACAGAACATTAATTTCAGTTATCTAAATTATTCAACTCAAAGTTCAAATTAAAAAGTTTTAATAAAATTTATTTTGACATTCTTTTCATAACAAACACCAGTCATACAGTGTTGTCAGAATATGTTTCTGTTATGTACTAGATTTGTCTAAAAAATGTAACGGATTCCATAAAAATGTACCAGATTTTTCAAATTCTATTTGCAGTGACGGTTAAAAAGAAAAGAACCTAAATTTTACATTTTTTTACATCAAATGAAAACATACACTCATAGATTACTAATGTGAACATACACTTCTATACGCCGGAGAAGAAAAAGAACTAGATTTTGCTTTGAGTGTACTAGAGTACCAGCTCTGGTACCAGATTCTTTGAGAATGTACTAAATACAGTACATTTGTTTTAGACTGGCAACACTGCCAAAAAAAACGTGAAATTATAAACACAAATCACAATTAATTGTCTACCGGGATCTCGGACAGTTTGCATATAAAAATCATGATTCCTATACTTTCCTTATATCTGTATACAGATAGGAAAGTAATAAAAAACCAGAACAAATTCAATTACATGAGCAATAATAAAAATAATCAAAGATTTCGTGTCGAAAATGTGTCTAAACGTCAAATGCGTTGCCACAGTTTTGCCATGTACTAGATCTAGTATATTTTCTAAGAATCTGGTACACTCTAAGCAAAATCTAGTAACTATTTCAGCTTGTTACCATTTGGTCCATTTGACGCGTGTAAAATATATTGTTGGGATCTTACTCCTTGTTTTGTTTTCGTTCGCTGAAAAACCCTTTTTACTTTCCTATCTGTATACAGATATAAGGAAAGTATAGGAATCATTTTTTTCGACATCGAGTTTTCGATGGATTTTTACGTTTTGAGGTCCCCTGAATCCGTTTTGACTATTTTCGCGATGATGTCTGTGTGTGTGTGTCTGTGTGTCGCATAACTCATGAACCGATACACATAAAAACACCAAATTTCAAACTTAAGCTTTGTTCCAGCGTCCAAGCAATGTTCTGATTAGATTTTGGGCAGTGTCGGAACATCTGGGGGGGTACTTTATGGGTGGTCATTTTTATATTTTGTGGAATATATCTGTTATTTACGTTTGTGGAAGAAAATTCTTCAAATAAAAGTTACTTCTTATATTATTATCTAAAATTTTTGTTATATACAAAATTTTTCTAAAATGGTCCGTATTCAAGAAATTTGACAAAATGTAAAAAAAATATTTTTTTATAAAAATTGTTCAAACAAAAGTTGTTTGTAATATAATTCTCTATAATTTTTATCCTTTACATAATTTCTCTAAAATGGACCGTATTTGAGATATTTGAGAAAATGTGTAAATTTCGAAATTTGAAGAAAACTCAAAAACCGATGAAGAAAAAATTTTAAACTTAAGTTTTATTTCGGCCTCAAGTGAAATGATTAGATTTTGGACAAAGTCGGAACATTTGGGGGGTACTTTATGGGGGGGCGTTCTTATATTTTATGGAATATATCTGTTATTTATGTTTGGAGAAAAAAAATTATTCAAATAAAAGTTATTTCTAATATTATTATCTATAATTTTTGCCTTATGTCAAAATTTCCTGAAATGGTCCGTATTCGAGAAATTTGACAAAATGTGCAAAATTCTGATTTTTATGAAAATTGTTGAAATAAAAGTTGTTTGCGATATCGATCTCTATAATTTTTGTTTATATATTATTTTTCTAAAATGGACCGTAATGGAAAAATTGTAGGAAAAGTGCTAAATTTAAATTTTTCAGTATTTTCATTTTCAATGAATATCTATAGAAAAATATTTCGAGGTAGATGTATGTGGAAAATGTATGTATTTATTTTATCCTCTAAACATTTATGGAGGTGCTGCAATAGGTTGTACAAAATAATCGGAAAAAGCATGTAATAACTAGATAGGAAAGTCATGTGTTGGACACATCAGATTTTTTTTTCTTAATGGACCAAACCATAGACCAAACCACATCACTATTTATTCCAAAATCTGGTACATTTTAAAGAATCTAGAACATTTTTATGCAATCTTATACATTTTTAGACAAATCTGGTACGTAACAAAAATATGTTCTGGCAACACGGTTGCCACTTACAAATGTCAAAATCAGCCTGTGTGATCGCTTTCTGTCAGTGTCAGTGTAGAATTATCATTTTCCTTTTAATAAATCCTGTTTTTATAAATATTTATTGTTTACAAAAACGATAAAAGTATAATGACATGTTAACTGATGTAACACTTTTCAATTTCCTTTATACTATATAGTGTTCAAGATGGTGTCTATAATTAAAAATCAGTTATTAAAACATTTATCCAGGTAATCTTTCATTATGGATTTTATAGTTTCTTTTTAGTAATCATTTTCGTAGTTATATGTAAATATGTTTAGACAATAAACAAAACAGTCAACGTATATCGATTTACACTTATTTACTTTCAATAAACATCATGTTTTCACATAATTTGTGATTATTATTTTTAGGTTTACAAAAAACCTTTCTGCAGACAAGATAAACCTCAGTACATTTAAAGGCGAAGGGGAGTTGTCAAATTTAGAATTAAATGAAGTCGTTTTAATGGATTTACTCGAACTGCCTTCTTGGTTGTGTTTAAAACAGGCTTGGTGTAATAAGGTTACTTTCAGAATATCTTGGACAAAATTAAAAAGTGTTCCTATTTTTCTGGTGAGTAGAAAATACAAAACTACTAATTAACATTAATCTATGTAGAGTCAATAAGTAGTGTATTCACATGTAGATTAATAAAACAGGATATTTCTTTTATGAATATACTGAGGAATATACAGTATTTCACAGTTCTCTGAGGATTATTGTTCTTTTAATTATTAAAAATTAAAATGCAGAATAATTATAGACAAAATAATACAGATATTCCACAGGTCAACATCCTGTTCTTTGTTTTACTTAACTCTTTCACTGTCCACACTTTAATGCCAGCTACACTCTCTGGTCTGTCTATATATGAACATTTAGAAGTATGGATGTTCATTAACATCATGGGCCATACACAATCGAAATATAAAATATTTACTTATGCTGGGGAATAGCTATTATGTATACAGGGTGATTATAAAAACGGTCAGAAGTTCACACAAAAAGTGAAAAGAATAAAGACTTCTATAGGATGTCAAAGAAGTATGTGACTGAGCCACTGGCTGACAGTGTACCTATATGTTCATTTATTGATCACTGTAGTTAAGCACTTCTTTTATGGGTGACCTGAGACTATTAGTTCTCAAGAGACAATGTATGAAGTGGAATGAATACATCAGAAGAAGTAGGGAATCCAAATGGTGGTACAATTAGCCAATGAAGCTGAAGTGTCAGCAGGCTAAAATTCTGAAGGGAGGCTAGACCTTTCCAGGCGGGGAGTCAGAAACAATCAAGAGTAGTTTCAAAGGATGACTAAAAGGATGAAAAAAAGACAAAATCTTTTTCTTAGTTCTATACATGCTGACCCATTAGTGCATAATTGCTTGATGTTCCAATTTGTGTTATATACAAGCAAACATATTTTGAAAAAAGTTATGTGGAATTGAAAAACATACTTATGATTTAAAAATATGTTTGGATATACATGGTGTTACACTTTTGTCTGGAAAGTAAAAATATGTTTTTAAATGGAATACCCTGTATTTTATTTCAGTTTTAGAATGGCATGGTAATACTAGAATATTTTATAAACAAATTTAACATTGTTTGCGAAGAAATTTTTTCTTAAATTAGTTGATAAAGATTTATTTATAAGGACCAAGCTGTGATGAAAGAACTGTTTCTTTTATCAGTGTTTTAATTATACATATACAGGGTGCGCCATCAGTGCGTCGTAATTCATCGATAGCTGTTTTATTATTAGAGTTACAAAGAAATGTTTAATATATAAAAGTTGTATGACCATATTTTACAATTATTAATAAATATACATGGTATCTCGTCTATAAATGAGGGCAGGACCAAACATATACTTAGTTTTTTAAACCAAACACCCTGTAGGTAGTTAAGCCTAAAAAAATTGGTTTTCACATCGTTTTATAATTTTAATAGACTAAACGTTCCTAAAAGTGTTTTGCATTTTTATTAATTTGCTGTAATGCATACAATGTATGTCTAAACTCAAGGTTACGATATTCTCAATTTTTTTCAAATGTAATATCCAGTTTGTTATACCACCAATTTAGAAATTAATTTATTTACTTTTTTCATTTTGTTTGGCATTCTATTCCCAAACGAATTTTTTCTCAAGATTTTGATGGTTTTATCATGAAAATTTACATATTTTTTTCACATTTTTCTAATTGGCTTTTGAAAATATGGACTTATTTAGGGTAAAATGCTATTGTAATTTTTGGTAACCCATTTGTCAGAATTAATTCATGGTTTTCTATTCCTTTGACATTACAAATTATGTAAAATTGTTCATAAAATTAAAACATCAGTTTAGGTGTAAAGAATGCCAAACAAAATAAAAAGTAGAGGAATTAAATTATCAGTTAATTAAATTCGTGGTTTAACATACAAAAAAAAAATGGGAAAATCGTAATATGCGTTTTGACACACTCTATATACAACATAGCAAATGAATGAAAAGTCAAAACATTATTAAAAACGTTAAGTTGTTTGACAATGTGAAACAAATAAGTTTGTACGTAACGAGTATATGGATAATAGGCTAAAATGATGGTATCATTAAATTGTTAAATTTATAATGAATTTAGTGCTAAAATAATATACAGGGTGTCGTATTCGAAAAAATTGAGTAAACTGTATTTAAAATGAGCCATATTGAGATGTTTCCAAATCTTCTGTGATAGGAATTATCTTAAAAAGATTGAAAATGTGCGCTTTAAATCAAATTAAATGTAACATAAATGACAATTTTTTTTATAATTTAAGAACCCTTTCACATGCCTACGGGGAAATAAAGGCAATTCACTGCATGGCAGCTTCTCTACATTCATCCTAACATACATTTTCAAATGACGTTACATTTATCGAAATATACTCGTATATCTTCAAATGACGTTACAAAACGTGATGGGCATGTGGGAAAGAACTATCATGACGTGAATCTTATGGGCGGCGAAAGTGTTAAATTATATTGAATTTTTTGGAGAATATAAATGTATTAAAATCCTTTTCCTCAGAATATTTTTCTCCTGTGATGGGAATTATCTAAAAGAGATTGAAAATGTATGCTTTAAATCAAATTAAATGTAACATAAATTATAATTTTTTATAGAAAATTTAAGTATATTTTTGCAGATAGTGATAAATTTGATTATAAACAACTAGTTGCCTTTTTATACATTTTTATTTATTTTTTATTCACTTTTATTAATTTTTAATAATTTTTATTAAGTTTTATTAATTTAATTTTTATTAATTTTTATTAATTTGTATTAATTTTTATTAATTTAATTTTTATGAATTTTTATTAATTTTTATTAATTTAATTTTTATTAATTTTTATTAATTTTTATTAATTTTTATTAATTTTTATTAATTTTTATTAATTTTTATTAATTTTTATTAATTTTTATTTTTATTAATTTTTATTAATTTTTATTTTTATTAATTTTTATTAATTTTTATTAATTTTTATTAATTTTTATTAATTTTTATTAATTTTTATTAATTTTTATTAATTTTTATTAATTTTTATTAATTTTTATTAATTTTTATTAATTTTTATTAATTTTTATTAATTTTTATTAATTTTTATTAATTTTTATTAATTTTTATTAATTTTTATTAATTTTTATTAATTTTTATTAATTTTTATTAATTTTTATTAATTTTTATTAATTTTTATTAATTTTTATTAATTTTTATTAATTTTTATTAATTTTTATTAATTTTTATTAATTTTTATTAATTTTTATTAATTTTTATTAATTTTTATTAATTTTTATTAATTTTTATTAATTTTTATTAATTTTTATTAATTTTTATTAATTTTTATTAATTTTTATTAATTTTTATTAATTTTTATTAATTTTTATTAATTTTTATTAATTTTTATTAATTTTTATTAATTTTTATTAATTTTTATTAATTTTTATTAATTTTTATTAATTTTTATTAATTTTTATTAATTTTTATTAATTTTTATTAATTTTTATTAATTTTTATTAATTTTATTAATTTTTATTAATTTTTATTAATTTTTATTAATTTTTATTAATTTTTATTAATTTTTATTAATTTTTATTAATTTTTATTAATTTTTATTAATTTTTATTAATTTTTATTAATTTTTATTAATTTTTATTAATTTTTATTAATTTTTATTAATTTTTGATAATTATTTTTTTTAATTTTAGTTTATTTTTATGATACTACCATACAAAAATCTAAAAACAGAGCACGTCATTATTTATTTATGCTACAATTATAATTTTCAAGTTCCAACGTAAAAAAAAATTATACTTATTTTTGTTTTTTAATCAATAGCTGTAATTCAAATTTTTATGTTACAAACTTTAAATAACAAAAAATATATATACATACTATTAATCAAATTTTCACCCCCCATTTCCTCCCTTAAAATGTTAAAATGCAAATACCCTGAAACACTTCATTATTTATTTATGATGAGATCCTAAAATTCCAATTTTCAAGTTCCTACCTTTAAAAAAAAAATCGATATTTCTAAATAAACTTTCACTCCCCTCTCCCCCCCTTATAATGTGAAAATCCAAAAACTCTAAAACACGTCATTATTAATTTGTACTCATTAGCTGCAGTTCCAATTTTCATGTTTCTAATTTCAAAGAGAACAAAAAAAAAATATACTCCCATACAAACTTTCACCCCCGTTTGCCCCCCTTAAGATGTAAAAATATAAAAACCCTTAAACACATTATTATTAATTTGTACTCAGTAGCTGCAATTCAAATTTTCATGTTTATAACTTTAAAGAGAACCAAAATGATGGATACTCCCAAATAAATGTTCACCCCCATTTCCGCCCTTAAAATGTGAAAATCCAAAAATCCTGAAACACGTCATTAATAATTTTAGTCAGTAGCTGCAATTACAATTTTCATGTTTCTAACTTCAAAGAGAACAAAAAAAATCGATAGTCTCATACAAACTTTCACCCCCCGTTTCTCCCCTTTAAATGTGATAATCCAAAAACCCTGAAACATGTCATTATTTATTTATGCTTAGTAGCTGTAATTTAAATTTTCATGTATCTAACTTTAAAGAACAAAGAGTTTCATTAAAAGCTCCCTTCCCCCATTTCCTCCCATTTCCCCCTTTAAAGTTAAAATTTCCAAAAATGTTTTCTTAGCGGATGCTTACGTTATAAAATAAACCTATGTTCCAAATTTCAGCTTTTTAGGCTCAGTAGTTTTGGCTGTATGTTGATAGGTCAATCAGGACAAACAATTTTATATATATAGATAAACAAACTGAAGTTGTCTCAACTGTTAAATATATGTGGTTTCAACCTGATAACCATTTGAACTTTCAACAGTGACTTTATTGATTTATAAAAATATATCAAAAGAACTTTACTTCCTTAAGTAGAATATTACAGAATTTATGAACTGAGACAAAAATTAATGTGTGGTAGAGTTTAATTAAAGTCAGTTGAAAATGCAATAAACTAATTTTTATTTTTTCGGTATGATTAACTTTGTTTCTAATTGAATTCATTAGATTGACACAATGTTTACGCCTAGGGCGTTATTTTAATATTGACTTATACAATTAAGTTGTGTGATTTTAAAGCATTTCTTAAATACAATGATTTGTTAACATCTCTAAAAATAGAAAGTTTTCAGCAGTTTTAAAAGTAAATTTAAGAATTACCTAGGACAAAAAAATAAGGATAAATAGTGTCTTTAAATATTAAGTAAACTACATTCTAATTAAATTATTTGTCTGCTAGTAGTTTTAGACTAGCAAGAATTTAGTATTTTTGCGAGGAGCATCTCACCATCTCAAAAATGTACATCTACTCTCGAATTTGGAGTAGTTAATTAGTCCTGCCAGGTACTGCTAAGTTCTGATTGGTCCTACTTGGTCCTACTTGGTATATAAACTATTTCTATTCTACCTATTCTACCTTTTCAGAAAATGTTGAAATTAAAGAAAGGTATGGACAATACAACAATAAATTAAATAACTTAATCAAGAAAGCAAACGAACATATTTTTCCCAACAAATTAATAACAATAAAAATATGTCTAAGGCTTTATGGGACTGTGTTATGATATTTGTGGAGACATAAAACAAAAATTGATGAAATAAAATTAAATGATGGAACAAAGGTGACTGATAAGGATGACATTGCTAACCACTTTAATGATTATTTCAGCATTATAGGTAAAGTGTTGGCCAATAGACTTACAAAATTATAAGGATAATTTAGACTTCATGGAAAACACTATGTATATGCCTCAAACTGACTAGTTACAAGTATTAGAAATTAAAAATTAAAAAAAACCGACTTCAAAACCGTGCAGATACCATTACCATATCTTAACCAAATTTATATGGGACGACCCCTGAGGTACCCCCTTACTAACAAAAAAAGAATCCTATAAATCGGACAAGGTGGTAAAGCATTATCGATAAACATACATAAAAAATGAAGGGTTTGAGGATTTTCTCATGGACCCAATTATTAGATTTTGACCAAATTTATATGGGACCACCCCTGAAGTACCCCCTTTCTACCAAAAAAATAATCATTGAAATCGGACACTGTTTTAAAGAATTATCGCTGAACATACATTAAAAAAAAATATTGCGACGAATTGAGAACCTCCTCCTTTTTTGAAGTCGGTTAAAAAGTGTTAGAAATTATAAAGAATCTGAAAAACAAAAAATCTTCAGGTATTGATCAAATAAGGGCAGAAACTATAAAGCAGATTGCTTTAGAAATTGTTCGTCCTTAAACTTTCTTAATAAATAAAAGTTTTCCAAAAGTACTGAAGTGTTCTGTGATAAAACCTCTGTACAAAAGTTGCAGTAAACTTGATATTGGTAATTATAGACCAGTGTCTCTTTTGCCAAATTTTTCAAAGTTTCTGGAAAAAATAATTAAAAAGAGACTATGCAGTTTTCTAAATAAATTAAAAAATCTATCAAATAATCAGTATGGAATTAGAGAGGGAAGATCTACCGATAATGCTATCTATAAATTAACCTCAACCATATATGATGCGTTAGATAAAAAACACCTATCAAAAGCCTTTGACACTGTTTGTCATAAATAATTGTTGGAAAAAATGGAAAAATATGGAATTTGTGGAAAAGCATTCAGTATCTTTGAAAGTTATCTGTCAAATAGAGAACACTTGGTGCAAATTGACAATGTTGATAGTAACAAACAGATCTTAACCTTTGGTGTCCCACAAGGTACTGTTTTGAGGCCTCTTATTTTTTACACTTTACATAAATAGCTTGCTACACTTAGATACATCCGCTAAAATTATTAGTTTTGCTGATGATACTGCTGTTCTGTACTCTTCATCTTCATGGAAGGACCTGAAACATAAAGTAGAAAGTGATTTTCCTAAAATATCTAAATGGCTACAGTTTAATAAAATAACATTAAATTAACAGAAAACTAGATACTTACCATTTTCTTCTTATGCAATAGGCCTTTCCACATTGGTCCATTAAATGTAGGATTGAATAACGAAGTTTGTGAATCTACATCAATTAAATATTTAGGGATTATTGTGGACAGGCATATTGTGACTTTCTAAACATACACTGCTTGAGGTCTCTTTATTTTTCTTTAATACAATCCTTATTAGTATATGGCATCATTGGTTTGGGAGGTGTGTATGAAGCACATTGAAAGATGTTCATGTACCTAATTCAAAAATGGATTTTAAGAATAATTTACAAAAAAATATTTTAAACCCTACAGGGGTCGGCATAAGTCAGGCAACAAATTTGCATAAAAAAAATGCAGCGTCAAAATTAATTTATTCGAAGAAATTACAAAGGGGATTCGAAAAAGGTAGTTTAAGTGTTCAAATTGATGCCTATCTTGATCAATGCATTGACGGCAACGTTTCGCAATGGAGAGGCAGGTCAGGCGAAGCATGTTAAGGTGTCCGCGAAGATTTTCAAATTCTTCTTCAATTGCAGTTCGGAGCTCGGGAAGGGTGCGTGGTCCTCTTGCAAAAACGCGGTCCTTGAGAAGGCCCCACATGAAATCGCAGAGTGTCAAGTCACAGGACCGTGCGGTCCACTCAAAGATTCCTCGTCTGCCTATCCATTCTCCAAAATGATCATTAAGGAACCCCCGCACACATAACTCGTAGTGCGGCGAAGCTTCATCCTGCATGAAATGACGGATGCTCGAGAGTGTTGGATCGTTGTCCATTTGCCCACGTAAATCTTCGAGTATGCATTTCCAGATAACTTTGGCCAGACTTATGACGATTTTTCGAGCGTTGCAGGACTTATGCCGACCCCCGTATAACCCTATAACGATGTTTCTTATATGATATGAGACAGCTATACTTTTTACAAATTCTGTTATTTTTTAAAAAATCTAAAATTACGTTAAAACCTCATGACCATCCCTACAATACATATCGACCTGAAGCTATTTTATTTCCGCGATCAGAAAAAAGTATCGGCCAAAGATGTAGTGATTACCTGGCTCCTAGAATCTTTAATTTGGTACCTCAAGAAATAAAGGACATTCCGTTGTACAGTAGATACCATTAGATACCAAATAGACTAAAAATCTGGCTTCAAAAAGAACGTAAATTAGCAAGTGATGTTATAAATCAGTCAAATCAGTCTTAAAAAATGTATTTGCCTAAATCTTTTTTTCCTATTTCGACTATATACGATAATAATTCATTGAAGACTATCATAATTATGTAAAAAAACAATTTCCATTTATATTTTTATTATTAATTGTATACTAATTTATAGATCTATTTTACATTTTATAATTTTTTAAGATTTTTCTAATAGTTTTTTTTTTCTAAATGTTTTTTGGGTTTTATAGGCACATTTAAACAGACCCGTTTAATGTTTCATGTACCTATCTTTAACCATGTGTTATTTATATGTACTTTATCACATACAAGCAGTTTTAAACTGCTTCTGTGATTACCCCCTATTGTTTATTCTCTTTTTTTAATTGTATTTATATTGATGTATCATTATTTGAATGAACATTATTATTATTAAAAAATCCTGTTCTTAATTGGCCTCTCAAAAATCACACTACACCTGCATACTTACTGTTAATTTCTGCCTTATCCTGTTGTGGACTATATGGCATATAATTTGTATACATACTACCAAAGTGAGACACCCCTTAATTTTTTGTTTTTTGTAGAATTTGGAAGAGGTGCAGATAGTAGTAGAAACTTGTGATGAACTTAGGATTCCTTCTGCACAGCCTGGCAGTTCCAATTCTGGGGTGCCAGGCAAGTACAGTTTTATCCATAAAGTCATTGATGGAATCACTGTGAATGTGAACACTGTAAATATTATATTCAACAGTCCGGCTTTTTCTGCATCTGTACAGGTAAGTGATAAATATTAATTTTCTTTAAGTCTTAACATATAAAAATCCTAAGGTTAAATAATATTTTGGTATCATAATTCCAGTAAAATTGATCTGAATGTTTTTAATATTGATAGTTGCATTTATAAAAAGATGCATTAGTACACGTATCTTAATGTATAGATATTTATTTTATCATTGTTATTATAATTTTTTTTGATTGGAGATTTCACGCATTAAATAACATATCTATTTTTATATACCAGTAGTAAGCTTGTAACGTTTAAAAATTAATTTTAATCTGATTTAATAATAAATATGAATGTTTTTAGTTCAAGTAATGATTAAGTAATTAGAATAAGACATTTTTTTTTATTATCTAAACATTATTTACTATATAATTTGTTTATTTATTTTTATTTCATCCCATATCAATATAATTTATCTTTATGTGCATATTTTGATTTGCAAAACACGGATATTGCCTCTTTTTTGTTTTATTTCAGTTAGTTAATCTCATTTTTCTAAAATGTAACTTAAAAAATTTAGATAAATGTGGCCCCAATGTGAAATTTTTAACCTTTATAAATAACTGCGCTTAGATACAGGTTTAATTAATTCTGGAATGTTTTAATTATGTAGATATAAGTAGTGTTGGGAAGTGTACTGTATTTTAACAAAAAAGGTGATAACAAAAAAAATTATGATTTCAAAACGCAAAAATTAATTATAATTTGTACACTGATATTTTTACTATTTTTAATTTTAAAAATAATAAAATTAATGCACCGTTTTATTGAAAAGATCCATTTAGGTTTTTGTAAACCATTTAAAATTGCATAAAATTGTGCAAATAAAATTCAAGGTCAACATATCTAAAATATAGAACAAGGTTATAAAAATAAGTATTTTAATTTATTTATTTCGTATACACAGAATGATATATTTATTAAATTTTTGGGGATATTTTGTGGAGATTAAAAGAGTGCAGAACAAATTACATATTGCTTAAAAATCGGAATAAGCTGCCCAACAAAATGAATATTTGGGAAAAACAAAAAAATTGTAGGTTTTTTCATTACATAAAACATATTGACAAACCCCCGGACATATATTTTCAGATTTCAAGTGATTTTGGTAATCCATCTTAAAAAAAAACACATTATTTGTTTACATTTTTCTGGAAGTGTCACCTAAAAACCCTTTTTCGGTTTGTCAGTTTTCAATCTAAATTATTTTAGATATCCAGAATAGTAGTAGAATCAAAAAATCACAAATTTCAACCGTCAGACCTGAGAATGACGCGATTGAAGAACCAGTCCAAAGGACAGTTACTGATATTCAAAGAACTGAGGTGGGACACTGTCAGAATAGAGGCCAAATCAACTACACTCAAAGATTTAACTCCCCTGAGGCTAATTATTAACGAAGCTAGGTGTAGGATTGTGATTAAAAAGAGGTTATCAGGTAAAATATTCTTCGAAAAATAGATTCACATCGGTTTACTGGAGATTGTTTCATATTTTACAAATGGGGTTAGTTGTCAAAATAAAGAAACTTATTTAGTTCTGTGCGTCAGGACGACTGATGACATTCTCTTTTCTATGCCAATGACTAGTTTTATGTGATATTTAATTCTCCTATAAAAAGAAAATGTATAAATAAAAAAAAAATATAAGTATTTTTATAAAAAATTTGGTTGGCTACGATTTTTCCACGTTTGTCCAACAAATATTTTCGTTTATCCATCCTTAAAAAAGTTATGACCAATTAACTTTTTGGGACCACATTTAGGGTATGCCGATCCGCCTCCATCTCTTTAGTCTTCATAGTTACAATCAAATTAAAAGTTCGAACCAAATTTGACATCAGTACCGCCATAATTACTTTTAATTAATTTCAAAATCGCATTCGATTTTCAACGATTTGTCCACGTTTTTCTAACTAAAAATTTCTTTTGTCCGCCCTCCAAAAGTGAAATATTAAAAAAAAATAGTCACCATACTATAGGCAAAAAGCAGTATCAAATAAATATTTTCTACAGCAAGTGTTTTATTCTTATTTCCTTAAAATCCAGTGGTTCTGCATACTGTAGCTCATTTCTATAATTTTATGAGAACTATCTCCAGTAAAGCCTATATGAATTTGATATGGTATTAGACGTAGATCGTCATAATGCGTTTTTCAATTTTTTAGACTCATTTATATTAGGATCAAGACTGGCAATTATTCTAAATGACTTAATGTGGTTCTTTACCGATTCACAACTTAAAGCAGCACTGTACTTTCTCGACTCTCTAACCGATTTAATTCAAAAATCAACTCAAATCACGCGAATGACAAAAGCGGCTAGGAAGCTGGAAGTAAGTAAAACAAAAGAAAAACGTGTTTTAAATTACTTTGCATACAAATTTTTAAATTTAGGAACTTCCGGAATATCAAGCACAACTGTCCCAAGAAGAGACTTCTGAGGTCCCGGAAAAATACAAGCTCTTCGCCGCACATGATGTCATTGAGACGTCTTACCATTTAATTTCGCAACAAATCATGTTGCATTTAAGCGATGACCCCGGAGGTAAGTTACTATTCGATAAAATTCTTTGTGTTCTTGATTTTTTCATTCTTTTTTTTATAATAAGGGAAGCACTGCTAAAAGTCGAGAAAAATATAAAACAAAACACAAATTTCCTTACTCAAATGGCTTTATTAATTGGATGTTGTTATTGGACAAATACTTGACAGTTCGTCGTGCTTATATTATCAGTATCAAGATTTTTTTTATACAAATTGCATTCTTCCTAGCTAAAATAACAAACCTGCCTTTTATTCTTTATGATATACCTAAGATAAGCTTATGAAACTTAAAACTTAAGAGTTCACTCAATGGCATCTCTCTCTCTTCTTTTCTGGTATACCAAGCTCAAACTTCACATTTCACTTTCTTATAGCGTTCTTGTGTATATTCACAAACGACAAACAACTACTAGGCTAATTTTGTTAACAAAAATCGAATTGCAAACAATTACGATGTGATTCACGTAGTTGTCAAATTATTATGACAGAGTATATGTGTACAAGGATTCTTTATGGTCATAATTCGGCATTGACTTAACATATGGTCCTAAAACGCACAAAAGGCTTTAAAAATTACATTACGGTAATAAGTATATGTCCACTCTTAATGCCAGTTATTATCAGTTTAATGTATTTTTCTCTTTGCAACTATCATAGTTGTAGGTGATTTCCAGGAAATAACACAATTTATTTTGAAATGTCGCAATGTAAAGCAAGCGTCGTAGTCGTAAGTACTGATTTATTCATAAAACGCGTGCTTGCATCTCTAAAAAACAAACTCGCACAAATCATTCCCACTCAAATTAACAGGTGTCTCGTTATTTCTGATGCGACAGATCTGTCTTTATAATATAAAACTCAATCTGAATGCTTGCAATAAATAAGGGCTTAATTATGAATGAATGGATTAGTTTAGTAGTTTTTCGTGGTTGATACTAACTCAAATAGTTGTGTTCCTTTTGAGTCTTCTAGTCAGATGTTGGTTATCCAAGAGCTGCAGAGCTTCAGTGCTAATGTGGTCATGCATTCTTTTTTCGTGTTTTACGGCAAAGTTTTTGATTTCTTCATCGACCGGTTGCATCCTCAGATTTCTGTGGAGGTCGGTATTCCTTATGTTCAATGGTGTATCTACAATTGCACATAGTACTTTATTTTAGAATCGTTAAATTAAATTTACATTGGTTTTAACGTATGTCCCAATAGTTTTGGTACAAAATTTAGGAGTCTAATAAAAATAGGCTCTAATGATAAAATATCAAAATGGCTTTGGAACCAAAAAATTGTTTATTCTTTTTGACATTTGTTAGACAAATCGTTTTTAATGTCAGTTGAATTAAAATGTCTTATAAGTTAGAAATAAGAAAAAGCATTTATATTTTGGTTGGACGGATTCCTAAGGCTGAAATAGCATTTTTCAAAACCAAAATATTTCACGCAGACGTATTTACCGTGCTATTGCCGAATGTGAAGAAGGAATTCCTTATCTAAATCTCCCAAAAAGTGGAAAACCAAGAATTTTTACCCGAGAAAGAGCAGGAAGATTGGTAAGAAGAGCAAAAGACAGAGTAGGGGTTTCAATAAGAATATCACGTCAATTTGGTTGTTCAAAGAGTATAGTGTCTAGGAAATTAGCAAAAAATGGTCAACAATATTGAAAAAGACGCAAGTGTCCTAAATATACCCCAAATCATGGATACGAAGAAGCTGTCGTCAAATAAGGCGGATACATTTTGCAAATGAAAGAGTCATTATTATAGACGATGAAAAATATTTTACACTTGCCAACTCGGAAATCAAAGGAAACGATAGTTTTTAAGCAGATAATATAGAAGAGTGCTCAAATAATGTAAAATATAAAGAAAAATCAAAATTCGGTGATAAAGTTTTGGTCTGGTGTGCGATTTTGACTATAGGGATTTCCAGACCTTATGTGGGTCAAGTAAGGGGGGAAGCTATTGATTCCGAAAGGTATATTAACAACTGCCTCACTAAATTAGTTGATTTTGTACACCAACATCACGATGGAGACGATATAATGTTTTGGTCCGACTTAGCGTCATGCCATGCAAGAGAAACTCAAAATTGTGTTCACCAAAATAACATACCTTTTGTACCAAAAGTAGACAACCCCTCTAATTTACCTCAGGCCCGCCCAATTGAAGATTTTTGGGCACTTTTATCTCGCAGAGTGTGTGATGGAGGGTGGCAAGAGGAACAAATGGCGTAGATTTTTAGGAAGATACGCGAAATAGATGTTGTAGCCGTCCAGGACTTATTGAGCAACGTTCGTAGAAAATTGCGCTTAGTTGAGGAGCACGGGCCCCTTCATTTAGTTTAAGTTATAATTTTGTCAGTTACTAAGCCGTTAATCATAGCAAATAACTTTAGCAAATAATAAAAGTTTAAATAAAGTGACATTACAAAAATATAGGGTTAAATATTGTTACGCTGGTTTTTGGTATCACAATTTATTTTAATTCAACTTTTACAATAACTCAATTCAACTGATACAATAACTCTCGGGGTTATGATGGACAAATAGTGTTATTTTTAATAGACACGTTATTTGTATACATGTTGTCATTTCTGTGTGTTTATAAAATAACAGACCTGTTAAAAATAACACAGGTTGTCAATCATAGCCCCTCTAACTGATAACATTAACATGTAACGTCTATCATAAAACTCAAACTCTGACGTCAGGTCGTCGATTTATATAGCTTGCCTCGACCTTCTAGAACCTTCTCGAACAATCCGGACTTTTCTTTGACAAGGAATGACATTTCGAGACATTTCTACATTATTCTATCTTCTTTATTTACTCGTACCTTTACTTATGACGACCGCAGCACGCGTAACAATATTTTGTGCCAAAACTATTGGGACATACGTTACTAGCACATTTCCAAGCTGTATGCCATAAGTCCAAACTGTTTTTAGTATTTGTAAATTAATAATTTATTTTCCATTACTCGTTTTGCTTTTATATTCATTAGCTAGTACAGTTTTATATATTTTATGCCCAATTCTTCACGTTTTTTTTTTATATTTTCTTTCCATTTCAGTAATAACTAGGTTCTTGCCTAGATATTTTCCCGTGTTTGAGTATAGTATTCTGTTGTTGTCACTGGTCGATATTTAATGTCACAATATTGTTTTAGCAAGAGCTTGATTAGTTTGTATTCTAAATCTTCCAACCATACCAACCATACGTTGTCGAAGGTTGGACTACATCTAGAAAGAGTGTAGTACAAATCTTTATTCCTTCTAATGTTTTTTCTATTCTATTCTGTGGATTCATTTATTGTGAAATATTTACTCCTAAAGATAAATTGTTCTGGAATTAGGTTTTACTTTTCATTATCAGTTTTAGTCTTTTTAAGAGAAGTTTTTCAAATAGTTTAGATATTAGTGGTAACAGAGATATTGCTGTGTATGATTTTGCTTCATTAGGTGGTTCACCAGGTTTTGGTATCATTATTCCTTCAGCTATTTGAATGAAGAATGATCCGCCGGTTTACGTTATTTCTTCTGGTTTCAGTCAGTCAGCATTAACTGTTCTTCTATCCTCTAATGAAACGGTTGCAACATGGTCCGTTTTTCTAAAGAAACAAGCAATCATTTTATTCAAAACGCGTCTTGAACGCACCAGTTTTGTTGATTTAGTTTCATTTTGCTGTTTACTTTCAGGCTCATAAATACATCCAAGATTCATCAGCTGTTGCAGAATTACATAGGCTATTTTTAAATATTATGTACATACGAAAAGGGAGGGTAATTCTTTGACTTATTTCATGACAAAAATGTCTTATAACCACCTTTCGTTACCGATCTACAGGATGTTGAAATTTCAAGAGTTTTTGTTTTTTGTTTATTGCTCCTGTAATTTTTGATATATATATATATATATATATATATATATATATATATATATATATATATATATATATATATATATATATATATATATATATATATATATATATATAGTTGAAATTTGAAAACTAGGTCGCGCTGTAGGATTTATATCATTGGACATGCCAATGGTTGTAAGAATCTACAGGATGATATTTTTTCAGGGGTCTTCCCCCCTTTTATTCCCCTTAACTTATTTGCGTTGGGCCGCTCGTAGATTCTAAAATAAAAAAGGAATTTGCTGTTTTGTTCAGAAATTTTTTGGTTTCTTGTAGTTTTTTTTTGTATCTGCGACCGTTATCGAGAAAAGTTTTAGTTTTAGTTTATTAGTATTATAAAATTAAAGCTGGGATTACTCGGGTTTTTTAGCAATTATTTATTACAATACAAAAACCCTAAATAATAACCATAACAAGGAAACTATACATGAGCTATAAAGAAAAACAAGAAAGTCTTAAAATTTCAACCCCCTGTAGATCGGTGGCAAAGTGTTTGTAGACCTACGTTTATATGACATTTAGTCATGAAATAAGCCAAAGAATTATCTCCTTCCGTATGTATATGATATTTAAAATCACAAAATTTTAACGACCAGATGCCTTTTTTTGTTCTTTTCTCAAATTGTGAGGGATCAAACGATTGCAAATCTTATGACTTACAAGCGATCGTGAAAAATCGTATGTATTTGTTCGCCGCAAACCTTTCTCTATATAAGTCACATGTCGATCTGATAAATTGAATTTATGCACAGCATCGATATTTTTCGCGACAACAGAGGCGCATGTATAACCTTCACTAAGATCGCCTTCAAATGTGGGATTTCCACGCTTGAACTATGTGAACCTCTTGTACACCATATTTTTTTATGGTGTTTCATCAATAAATAACGAATTATGTTTTCCCCTTCATTGCTACGGTGTTAAACCGTATCGAATATCATAAAAAATCAACACTTGAAAATCACGATTCCAAATATCCATTTTTCACATAATTAATTAGTTAACTAACCTCTATTGAAACGAAAGTGCTGGGTTGAAAATCCAACTGTCAACATTATCAGTGCTTCTCGTAATATGTTGGTATTGTGCTTTTAATGTTTGATAGTAATATGCTTTAACAGAGTTTTTTTTTGTATTTTAGATGGTCGCTCTTCCTATCCGAATTTAAAAAACGGCGATGCTTTACACATAAGCCTCAAAAAATTCCACGTGGACTATTACCCTTATCACTTAGCCAAAGGTATTTTTAATTTTAACAATGGGTTATGAGATAAAAATAACTTGTACTTGTACAAATTTTAGGTAATAGGAAGCATTGGTTAAAATACAACACGAATTTTGTGCCACACGCTTTGTGGCAGGAGAAAGCTTTAAGTTCTTTCAGAACAAAATTTTTGAATCTCATCGATCAACACAAACCTTTACATACTCCGTTGAACAGACCAAAGAAGGTAATTTTTTATTTAATTTGTAAATAAAATATATGTAATACAGACGCAATTATCAAATTAGTGAAAATTAATTGAGATACCTAAAAAAACTAAAGTGATGAAAACAAATTAAAGGAAGCTTCAAAAAATCAGTTCCTAGTGTGAATTGAACCCAATAATGTCGTTGATTTATACTAGCAAGTCTCAAGACATGATCTAGTGAGCAAGATTTAATCTCTAGTTTCTCAATAGCTGTATTTTTTAACAGGGTTCGAAAATATCATGATAGTCGTATTTTTCTAGACAACTTGTAACTAGGGTAAACAATGCTTGAGCTGTTCGATCAGAACTTACATCATGGATCCTAAAAATCTTTCAACTAGCTTTCCTTGAGAGTTAATATACCTAATTATTATGCTACATTGATATTTTAAGCAATATCTGTTGAGCCGTCTACTTCAATTCCATTTCAATATATTTGTCAATATATTGAGAAATACAGTTTATTAATTCATTTTGAATATTTTAGAATTTGCGGCAAATACAAGCGAATTTTTTTTATAGTGTTCTTGAATGTCTACAGAACTGAGGGAGATATAGGAATCTAAAAGAACTGCTCGAATTGGCAACTGCATAAAACGTCTGTTAAGATGCACTTTTTCATTAAATTGTTTTTCATATAGCCTAGAGTTTTCTTTTAAAGCGCCTTCAATAGTATTCAATTTTTTTTTAGTTCTGTAATTCTTAATGCACAGCGCATATGTTCACATGATGATTCATACATAGGCCGCGAGTTACGTTCCCAAAATCACTAAAACCGTCTTTATTCCATACATTTGATTTTACACCTATTATCAAACAGGGTACGCAAAAAAGCTTGTTTAAATAAAAACTACCACACAATCATTTACATTCGGAATACCACTCTTTCCGAAACACTTTGTTTTTTGACTTACATTAAGTAGAGGTTCAGGTTTTAGCGAATTTAAAAAGTCTTTTTTATCCTCACTTCCTCATCTACAGAATGGCATCTCCAATAGCATACATACTGGAAAATTGTTAGAAAAATCTAAAAAACTAGTCCAACCATTGCATAAAAATAGTCCCGACCGGAAGAAGCAAACTGATTCAACGCGCCAAGTGCATTAATCGGCTAGATCGAAACGTGCCGTTACCATGGCAACCATCATAAACGCGCCGATAGAAGAGACGCGTGTTCGGCGGTTTTATGTATGGCGCGTCAAGCGCTCCGTTCGCTCGGATTAGGAAATCTTTCTATTGTATTATATTTCAAAAACAAGCAAGCCCCGGACGATTGGATTTTTTTTATCGAGCGCCTCGTTTGTTTCATGCAGTGGTTCAGATTCCCCGAAATTAGGTATAGTTTTGGAGGTATCTGTTTTGTAATTTGTAGAGACAAAAATGCACTATATTTTGTTACAGAAAAAGAAATATTTTGCTATTCAGTTTATTTTTTTTATTAATTTCTACCGAAATTTTGGCGAAGCAGCGCGTCACCTGCGTCATCTAGCGAGCCGCCACTGCCTCAAAGTTTTCATAAATTACCGGTTTTATTTATCGCGATTTTTTATACTTATTAGATTTTTCAAACTAAGTAGATTTTTTAATCGCCCCCAGTTTTTTAATCGTCTTCAAATGCTTTTAATCGCTCTTAAAAAATCTGACCAACCCAGATTTCTACTATTTTCAAGTTATAATTTATTTACCATAGTTTTTTAACCCCTGCGGTTTTCTAACGGTGTTTGACTTTTAAACGCATTCTTTTGAAATTAATATATACTTTTTAAAATGTCGCCCGGGGTAGAAGTGATATATGGGAATGAAATCTACAGCTAAATTTTACCTTCGAGTTTTTATACCTTTAAAAAAGCCTTTTTGTTAATAAATATATCGATTTTTAGAACCTAAACGATACTAGCCCTAGCATAGAGGTAAAATCACCACAAAATGCAGAGTACAAAAATAATAAAAGAAAAGTTGAAACGAAATTCTCCAAACTGATGACAAGTTGCATAGTTTTACGTATCGAAGATTTCAATATCTATAAAGTCACTTCTTCACAAAAAAGAGGTCTCAAAGAATTCATTTTTGGTAAGTATTGAAAAATAAGTATGCATACAATTTTTTTTTTTTTTATAGATATTACAAATATTCTTGGCAAACTTATCGAGCAGTATTTTTTTTTTTTAATAAACAGTTAATTTCGTTTGTTCTATCTGACAGCACAACAAAAAAGGAAGGATAAGGTTTATTATACAGGTATCTATACCGACAAACCACTTAGCGAAGTAGTAAAAAAATTAGAAATAAAAAACAAATTAGATTGCTTGTTGAAAATAATTGGCCGATAGTTCAATATTGTGACGTCTCAATTTAGTTATTATGTAGTGCTTTGAACATGGTTTCGTAGACAATTCGGTATATAAATGTATACTTATATTAACAAAAAATATTTAAAACTGCTTACAAAAAGTAGTGTCCTAATATTTTAGCAGTCCGCTATAATGCTGTTTGTCTAAAGTTTAGATGACATATTTGTTATTCATGCATTTGTCACGCCAAAAATGGCTGGCTGTCTTATCTAGGTTGTCAAAATCTTAAAAATATTTTGAGTAAAAAACGTTTTATGCGGGGTTGTTCTGAAAAATGTAAAATTACATCATTGATAAATTAGAGCGGTAGAATGGGATTAATGTTTGAGGAACATATGAGTGCGTTAGCACCTTTTTAGAGCTAGAGCCACATAGACTAACATTTGGCCACGTTTTCTTAGATAGGACTGAATGCAATCGAGGTAAAAAAATCAGTTAATTAAACTTTGCCAGTGGCGTAGGTAATTTATGTTACGCAACTGGCCCAACATTAACTTTGACTATAATTTTAAACTTTTTGATGTTTTTAAAGTAAATCCCAATTATATCTTTTAACAAAATTACTATTAAAAAAATTGTAAAAATCTCAAAATGTAATAATAAATTAAAATAAAGAGTATTTACATTTGAGTGCGCAATCACTTTATAAGTTCCCAACAGGAATACATTATTTACTAAAAAATAAAAAAAACATTAAAATTATAGTGAAAATTAGAGTTTGGACAGTAGGACAGAAGGGATAAATGAATTATCCATGCCGTACGCCACTGGTAAAGTTTATTTAACTGATTTTCTGCTGTTATACCTATATCAAACACGTTTGCTGGATTTGGTAAAATTATAGTGATTACTAATAAAATTATAATCATTATTAACTTTTCAACTTTTAACACCCCATATTTCGGAACTTTTTGCGCAAACACGTTTCGTTTAATCTTCTCATTTTAAAATAGCAAATCTTCAGTTGTTCTGTTGTTCGGTCCCATTCTTAATGGGACACCCTATATATAAAAGTAAATACAAATGTCATCAACATGTCGTTTCCATCAAAATCAAACGATTAAGAATAAGATATGCTACTATAATATCTTCATACAACTGTTACAAATTGCATTGTTAGATATTTATTTTTATTTCAATCTATTACTGGATTGTGTACTGTTCAGTTTAAAAGAGTAATTTGCAGTTTTTGAAACATATAGTTAATTTTAAAAACGAACTTTGAGTTACTAAAATAAAATTCACTTCAAATATAAAATCGTCAATTGTGTATGCATTTTACTATTACAATTAAGCAGAAGTATATCAAACTAATAAATTTGGCAAAGCGGCAATAATCGTTCTCTCCGTCGTGTTTCAAGTTGGCGCATGTCGAGACTTTTGCTATTCCTGCCGATCTGTACTCACGATCGTTTTTCTCAGCTTTTTTTAAATTCTTCAGAACAACCCTCGTAGCATAATAATACGTATAGGTGAGAATTGGAAAGGTAAAAATTAGATTACACCAAATAATTTTTAGTAAACATTTCTTGCATTCATTCTTTTTTCAGGTGACAGAAGTCAGTTATCATTACCAGTAGATTCGAATATTGTTCATGCAGAATTTACCTACTACTACTACCCCAGTGATATACCATTTCCCCGTAAGTTTATAAACGTTTTTCCCTTGCACGTCCGAATTTCCAAAAATGTAATATGTCTACTGTCAAAAATAAACGTTTTTATATCGTTTCAAATGTCACCTGTCAATTTGTTTTTATAATATTTTCTTTCGTTCGCTGTTGGTGCAGTGTGCACCAGTGTCAATTACACCATCTTATTTACCTAGTTTATTTCCTCCTTATTTCTTATACACATGTCGAGTGTAATTCGCTCCTGCTAAATAGCTGGTGGAGAAAATATCCACACATGAACACCACATCGCCGACAGGAAAGTGTAGTGGATTTTATACCGGGCCGAACGAAAGTTTTAGTGTCCGTTGGTGTAGTTCATTCCTACACTAGTAGAACGAACGAAAGAACATATTTAGGCATTCCAAACAAAATGGTTGCCGTGGGGTATGATATGGCAACCATGTGTGCCTGGTGATTTGACAGGGTCAATGATATAGATAGTTATATAGATTGATCATTCATGTTGTTCAAAATAAACAAACCCACAGGACTGCCATATCATAACCCACGGGCAGCATGTTGACAGTCCGTTGGAATGCCTATTTTTATAATTCTGATGTGCAATTCTTCAGATTTATGCAATATGATGTATTGCCGAGTATGATTTTGAACATTTTTTAGTACCTCCACCAAAATTTTATGTTCAAATAAACCCGGTTTCCATAATGTTTGACGTTGATACGTGTTTGTGGATCAATTCTTTTGCTATGAACTTATTCCAGTCGTTGGCAAATTCTAAAAGCGAGGTACCGGTGTCGACTTACAGTTATATGGATGTCAAAATAGAAGCAATACTTCCTAGAGTGAGTTTTTTGCTATATTTTATTTTTTGTATTTAGAATTGCATCCAGTATGTTTAATTGTGATTTATCATTGTTAAATTGGAAACTCTTAGAATGGTGATTAACTATTATACTATTTATTTTACGTTACCAATATACAGGGTGTTATTGAAATATATGTAGATATTAAAATTGAATTTCGAAAATGTAAGTTAATCAGGGTACTGTTGGTATAAGTGATGTACAAAAGCCCTCCTGAAATAAGAACGTGAAATAAGAAATCCATCCCCACAACCCCTAAGTTAAACAAAAATATTCTTCATTTTTACATTGGCTCAACTTTCGTTTAGCTGAAATCAGTTATATAGAAACTGTTATCATGGCAACAATTGTGATGACAATGAGTAAACAAAAACCCAAATTCTATGGTGAGGAAATGCGTAGTTGCTAAGTTAAAGATGATTACGATTTTTGTTTAATTTTATTTAGCTGAAATTAGTTATAGAGTGTGTGCTTGGTTCTTCTCTATATACAAAGAAATTCTTTCTAGTTATTTTATAAGTTTCTTTGCCTTCTATCTTCTCTGTTCTTTTGCTTACTTCTGTTTTCCTGCTCAGCTCTGTTTTACTCTAATCTTCCTTTGAACTCTGGTATCTATGCTATCCCTGTCTTTCAATATTTACAATTTTTTCTTTTATTTAACTCTCCAATATACCTTTTAAAATTTCTTTTAATTTTACACTTTATATGTATATCTCCAAATTTCCTAATTTTTCTATTTTATACCAATTCATTTCTGATACACAAAATTCCCTTTGACAATTCTAATTTAATTTCCTAGGCAATCTCCAAATTTTGCTAACGTCATTTATTTCAATAACACCTTGAATAACATTGTAAATAACGATAACAAAAATCATCCTGTATCTACGTGTTTTTTGTTGAAGATAAATTTCGAAAGTGTAGTGGACCACCCCAATCAAAAGGATCGGCCAAAATGTCTGAGCTTCCAAGTGACCAGGGCCACCATAACGAACACGAGAAGCTTGGAACAATCGTCCAGGGCCGATTTAGCCAAATGCGTCGATTCGTTCCACATGGGCTCTTTGTTTTTCGGTTCGGAATTTCCTTCGCAACCGAACGATTTCTATGTAGTTACGCAAAAATTTATCGATCACATATCAACGGTGGATAACATTCGAGATGTGCCTTCGCAGATTGATTCATCAGTTACGGATGAGTGGGTAAGTATTGGGATCGCAATACCATGGCGATAAATACAATGGTATTTTTGCAGATGACACAATTTACCCGAGAAATGTTGTGGACGGACGCCAAAGACGTTTGGTGCATTAATTTGGACCCGGTTTGGGCCGACTTTAATGGCGCCAGAGCCATAGGAATTGCTAAATCCGTGCCGTTTCTTGACGCTTTACCGGTAACCTTATGGTTACACACCCACATGGATCCTAACTCAACCATAAAGTCTTCAGGAGACACAACCAGTGACTCCCAATCGTATGCTGATATTCACGCTCTGGTGTATATTACGAATTTAGTTAGTGTACAAATCAATCATTATCAATATCTGTTTTTGTTGAGATTAGCCGAGGACGCTGCTCTATTGGCTACGTATTTGGCGATTGATGCTGAAAGGATATTAAAGGTATTGTGTCGTACTTTAGTTTTGTCTATTGATGTTCCTACAATATGACGTTTAATTTAGGTTGAAAGCAACAGTTCAATCGCCATGGGTGTGATAATACCTCAATTAGAGGTAACCTTCGTTATGCCATCAAATTCTCCAGGAAAAGAATCATCAGGAGGCGACATTGAATCAGTAGTCCCTGATACGTCTAGCATAGCGGATGATATGTTAGTAGGTGCGTCACTATTTGACCAATTATTATAACAAACATTTACAAAAACGTTGTTTTGTAGGTTCAACCCCGTCAGTTTGGCATAATAGTACCCTATCAATAACCCAAATCGGTGTTCCTCCAAAGAAACAAATAGCCAACGGTTCCTCTAATCCTAACCAAATGGATTTGCCCACTAGTCTATCTTCAGATTATTTACAAACGAGTCCCGGCAGAAGCGTTACTAATGAAGAACATAGCCTGTTGCTGCAGCAGAAAGGAAATTTGAACTTGCAGACCAACTTAAACATGGGTTAGTATTATATTTGACGTTCACTCGAGGTATGTCTATTAAATAACAATACTTATAACATTAACTCGGGATAATAGTTTGGTTATTTAATATACAAATCACGTATCTGACAGTTGACAGTGTTAATACTGGAAAATAAAGGAGCTCATTCTATATCTGACAGTTGACATTGACGAATAAATGACGTAACTCATTCGATATCAAAAGCGCCTAGAACCAGAGACAACTTTGATGTAGAAATAAAAATTGATCCGCAATGTTGCCAAGTTGTATGAAATTCATAATGCACAATGATAAATCGCAAATCGGTCGTCATAATAGTACCTAAAAACTATAAAATACAAGTATTAGTAATTAAAAATTAAAAAAAACCGACTTCAAAAACGTGCAGATGCCATCACCACATCTTAACCAAATTTATATGGGACCACCCCTGAGGTACCCCCTTACTAACAAAAAAAGAATCATATAAATCGGACAAGGTGGTAAAGCATTATCGCTAAACATACATAAAACATGAAGAGTGAGGATTTTCTCATGGACTCAATTATTCGATTTTGACTAAATTTATATGGGACCACGACCACCCCTGAAGTACCCCCTTTCTAACAAAAAAAAGAATCATTGAAATCGGACACCGTGTTAAAGAATAATCGCTGAACATACATAAAAAAAAAATCGCGACGAATTGATAACCTCCTTCTTTTTTGAAGTCGGTTAATAAATACAAAATATTATGCACAGTGAGAAATCAATTATTTAAACATGAAATTTACATTGTTTGTAGCGTTATAGCGGACAATTTTTTTTTCGTGAAAATTAGCTTATGGACTCATTTTCATTAATAATTAAGGAAAATCGAGTGTATTTATAATAGGCCATTTAACTGGTAAATTATCCAATGGAACTCTCATTAAAAAAATTTAGAGGAGGTAGGTCCATATGAAAAGTAGGTAGGTAGGTAACTAATGCTTGAAAAGTGTTTTTTCTGCACTCGTTTGCTTAAACTTCACTTTGTGTCATTAATATAAATATATAATTACTAAATGTCCTAGGTACGTGCCTATACATATTTTTTTGTTATGGTTGACCAAATAAGAAATGACATCAGCCATGAACCGCCCATACTACAGATCTGAGAGAGATTACTTTTAAACAAAAGTGGCCAGTTTTCTTGACTACTTTTACATTAAGAATTTTTACACAAAATTCTACAAGATATCGGCTTTATCTGAACACTCGATATGTGTATGTAATTATTTGTATATGTTAATTATAGAAGTTTCCCATATGCTGTGAACTTAAGTGGACACACTATAATAAACAATGAAGGGCCAGGGACACTACCTTGTGGTACACCAAAATTACATTCCCTTACATTGGACACACTACTGGTGGTTGTATATAGATTAATTTTATACCCATTTTTGTAGTTTGTAGAGTAACAGGTCTCCATCAATTGTTTTGAAAGCACACTTTAAATCCAAAAATACATTCAAAACTACCTTTTCTTTATTAATTTCCTAGCTCCAATTAAAACATGCAAATTGCAATGTCGTTTCACATAAATGGCCACCACGATTACCAGACAGTGTCCTACGTACAAAATATTGTTTCTTTCGAACAATAGCTTCAATTAATCTCTTAAAACAATTTTATCCACAGATGGTAGTAAATTAATTGGCCTAATTTGGTCTGTCATTTGAACTTTTATTCTTTAGGCTGCTATTTTTTGTAACGGACTGAACGTTATTTTTTGATATTGTGTTAGTTTTTTCTATACCTCCATTTTCGAGCAAGCCTGTACCTTCTATACTCTTGGCTAGATCACGGATACTATTACTATAATAATTAAGGTTTCTTTTGGTGGCCCGTAATAGCGTTCAAAATAGATTTGATCTATTGGCAGATTCTTTTTCTTCTGTTTAAGTAACTTTTTTATTGTCTGCCACATCTTTTTGCTGCCTCCTTTGGATTTGTTTTTATAGAATATTTTAATTTCTGAACGTAATACACTGACTGCCTGGGTCCTCTTATTTTTATAATCATTATTCCAATCTTCCTGATTATTCGTAAACTTGAATCTGTTATTTGCTACTTTACAATGTTCGCAGGTAATTTTCTCAAATACGTATTATCTACGTTCTCGGTTTCCTACGTTGGGCGCCAACTAAATAAGTAATTTTTTTCTTCACCTGGAACTATTTTGGATGATGCTGAAATTTAATATACACACATCTCCAAAAGTCTTGGCCCCCAAGGTATTTTTAAAAATAATCAAATTTAATTTTGAAAATATAGCGAATCTTGTTCTTTATTTTAATACCAAACTATGTGATACAAAAAATGTCCAAAAATCGAATGTAAGTCAATTTTATTATTTGTGAAAAAATGTTATATCGCAACTAAAACATAACGTAATAATCTGTATTATCCTTTTAATCAATTGGCCAACGCGTCGGGGCATCCCGCGGATCCGGTTATCAATAAAATCATTGTCCCAATCTTCTTGAACAGCCACAGTCAAGTCTTTCTAATTTGAGATTATTGCTTATATACTTATGTTGGGTAGCAAGAACTCTGATAATTCTAGTACCTCACTGAAATATTTTGTTTGTTAGGTTTGACGTCTGTGAGAAAGGGCTTCACGAGCCTTATGTCGTCAATCGACAGTGCTTTAAAACCTAGTCCCGATGATATGAGTGATACTATGTCCATAAGGAGCGATGCTTCAAGTGATTCAGAAAAATTCGTCGTTATTAATTGTGATCTGGATATAGCCGGTGCTGAAATTATTTTAGTAGTAGCAGAGTTTTTCGAAAGGATAGAAGAAGCGGCTGAAGTTTTAGAAGAGGAAAACACCATGACGACTACTAGCGAACATTCTGTTACTAGCACTAGTCGTAGAAAAGATTTGGTATGATATTATGGAATTAAAAAATTGTATTATTATAATAAAACTTTTTATATTTTTTTTTCAGGTGTCTGTTTCTACTTTTAAGCTAAATAAAATAGAATTCGTTTATCAATCATTAGGTTTTCAATCTTCGATGAAGGTTCAGCTTAGTAATTTATTATGTGATGATTGTTCGTCTATATCTTGGGATGAACTTCAGGTAAGCATTTAATAATAATCTGTCAAAAGTGACAGAATTTGACAGCATTTTTTTTAGAGTAAATTTGGTACCAGATCTCGCGTTTGGACTTCTAATCCGCCGAGCGATTTCAGTTCACCAAAAGTTAAGTTACGTTTAGACCATAATCTCGTAGTTAGCAAATCTTCGATGCTTGATATGGACCTCACGAACCGGGACACATTCGCGAGCCTGTTCTTGGATCTAGTAAATATCACCGTCAAGGATCTATCGTTGAATTTGAATATGAGCACGGTGACCGGGCTCGCTGATCTTATCGAGGACGAAGTTATTCCTGTACCGTTTCCTGTAAAGGTAAATATTGTAGTCTCTCTCCTTATTTTCACCGAGCAACTGAGGTTGCCAGGAGTCGGAATTGTTTATTATATATATTTTTTTCTTGCACTCAACTATGTCAGTACATTTTTTTCTAATCATTTACCCTCCAGAAATTTTCATATCAATATAAAGAGTGATACACAAAAAATATTTCAGAGACCCTGGAAAAAATACGTATGCCTTAATGATCTTAAGTACTTTATTTCCACCCTTTTATTTTTTTACATATCATAAACAAGTATTATAATTTGGCACTCTGAGTCTAGTGTTTTTTCATGTGGTCCCAATCGAATGTAACGAATACATCCGCCTATAAAACCTGGTTGTGATTCACAATTATAGCAGCTCCCATTCCTTAGTGAAAGGGTATAATTGAGGGGATTTGATCGGAAATGGATACGAATGATTTAGTTGTGGTGGTTTGTCCCTTGAAAAAACCTAGTAAAAAACAGGGTTGTCCTTATGACGTATGTCTAATCCGGCACGATTTATAATCTACAATAACATAATGAAACAACCGATATTTTTTGTCCAAAGACATAATATCTATTCTATTACTAAGTATATAAATTCGCTAAAGAATACATGTAAATTATGACTGATCTGGTTGGGAATAATATATTACATTTTTTATTCTACTTACCGATGATTTTGTAAAGGAATTTAAATTCAATCTTCAGCTTCTGCTTGCATAAAAGAGGCGACGTTTTTTATAATCTACCGACTGGATATTTTTTCCTTTTAAACCAAGTTTTTTAGTTTAGAATAAATAAAACACAAAACTCACTTATTTATAAACGTCTTAAAATAATCTAAAATCAAAAATATTTATTAAATTAACGATTCCAAAAACACAACCTCAAATGTCAAACACTAACGTCGCTAACAAATAAATAAATGGCCATTGGCATAAAAATGTGGCGTGACCCTGTCGTTCCTAAGGTAGGTAAACAATACATAATTTGGTTTCTGCGACTGTCATTGTTGCAACTTCAGCTGGGTTCTTCTCTCTTGAAACGGAGTCTAAAAATGATACCTATTCACTGATTTCCATTGAAAATATTGGGCCGTTTTTCGTGTCCAACATAAATAAAGAATTAAAAAAAAAAAATAGTGGTTTAAATATATAAAACGCAATAGCTTGACAAAGTGTCTAAATGTATGAAAATAATCAATCGGGGGTTTTTAAGGTCGCTGAAAATGCAGATTTTTAAATTTACATCATTATGTAATAGTCAATATGCTGGTCCATAAATGCTAAAGGAGAATGGGCAATTTTGCCCCACCCCTCAATAGTAGTAAGATATATGCCAAATGAAAGATATCGGTAAGGAGAACATTTGTTTTTATTATGACTTCTCTCAATTGTCTGTCCATTCTGAGTTATACAGTGTGTGTATACTTAGGTTGAAACCGTATGAAAAACTTTTCTATTATTGGTTTTGTGAAAAAATGTATTTGTGAAAAAATGTATTCGTGATAAAAAGTTTTGCATGGTCCAAAACTTTAAATGCAACCATCAAACAATATGAATTTTACTCACCAAACCTGAATTTTAATGCTAAATGGCTATAATTGCATATTTATATAACTTTTAATTCAAAAGAACTTTACCTTATAACATTCTTTTGTATTGTAAAATTCTTATTTTTTGACAATCCTCGTATACGGTTTTAAAAAAAAATTGATATTTGATGGTTGAATTTGTAATTTTGGACAATGCAGTACTTTGAAACCAGTAATAAAAAAGTTTTTCACGTGTAGTTGTCAAGTTATAAATGATTTATTTAATTGAAATCAGTTACGGACAAACTGTTGCCATAGGGATACTTATCATGGCAACAAGTAAACAAAAAATCTAAATTCAGTGGTAACGAAATGCATAGTTGCCAACTGAGTTGCCAACTTATAGATGATTTAATTGAACTTTAGCTGAAATCAGTTACGGAACAACTGTTGCCATAGTGTCACTTGTCATTGTAACAACTAAACAAAATTTCAAATCTCGAATTGAAAAAATGCATAGTTGCCAAATTATAGATGGCATAATATAACTTTTGTTTAGCTGAAAGGCATTTTACATCCAATCCACGTACTACCTTGCATGAGAATTACCTTCTACCTATTACTTTTATTTTATATTGATATTATATTGTACCAAGTAATTAAAACGGTTGTAATGTTTAAAATTTTTCAATAATAATACTTTTTAGATAGAAACTTTTTGAAGCACACTGTAAATTACATAATATTTTTAATTATAGCTTCAAAACATATTCTCCTTTCAGTATTTTAATTTAATTTAAAAAAAAATCATATAGTCTGGACCGACATGTATAGGATGCCTCACCCTGTATGTGTTACAAATGGCTTCATATTTGTTCTAATGTAAATGGGGTAATAATATTTATGATTATATTATTGTTTGTCCATTACCTTGGTCTCAAACCATTGGACCCGGTCCTTTGGAGAGAATACGTAGGGCCGTGTAACCGCAACACGTGGAGGCCCTTTGGTAAGGGATACACGTAGCGAAAAAAATTCTGGACAACATCATATACCCAGATATTATAAGTGTTTTTATATTACTAAGAAGTAATAATTACTACAAATTGCCTGTAATAAGCACTACAATAATAGAATATAAGCTCTGGCCTATCATGAAATTAGTTACATTGAAGATGGTATAACTCGGAACGGACAACTAATTGAGATAAGTCGTAATGAAGAAAAATGTTCTCCTTAAAAATATCTTTCAACTGGTATATACCTTATCCTTATTGGGGTTGGGGCAATTTCCCATACATTTCTGCCCATTGCCCTTTGGCCACCTTGTATTGTTTGAGTCAATTTGTTGACATCGTCGTATTAAAATGTTGGTTTTATTATTTGTTTTTCAAATTTTTCAATAAAAATATACTAATAACCTTGTTTTTATGACATTAAACCAGACAATTACTGATGCCCTTCTTATGGGGCCTCAGTATTGCATTCGTGCCGACGAAAAAATTTTCTGACCCCCATTTTTTAAAACTTTTTTTCATGTTTCTGAACATGCAAAAAAAAAATTCGTCTGGTCGTCTGTATGTATGTATGCCAGCACGATAACTCTAGAACGAAAGTTCTGATTGACTTGCGGTTTTGATTTTCTTGAATAATTACTTCTAACTTAGAACCCTATTGATTTTCAGAAATTTCGGTTCATCCTAACTACTTTAATAACAATTTTCTTAAAATCCGCCTATGCATTCCTTATGTGAAAAATTTTAGGAATTTCATTTATTTCTAACGTCAAAATTCCTAACATTCTTCACATTCCATAAGTTGCAAACATTTTCTAACGACCTGTCAAACAACAGCTGTTGATAGTAAAGGTGAAATTTCTAAGGCGGGTTGCGACCTTCATACTTGCAACCATATAGCCATTTTGGAGGCTATTTTCATTCGAAATTAGTCGTCAAGCCTGCCAATTTATGAAAAATATATAAGCAGTTTCTTAAAAATTACTTTTTATGGTGGTGCTATTAATCGTACTACTATTTCGCCCCTAGCCACAAAAACACCTTCATCAAATTTCTCTGTCGCAACCCCATAGAATAATTAACCGGCCATTTTATTTGGCATAAATCAAAATAATGCTTGGCTGTGCCTGTCAAGTATCAAGATGTCAACTAGGCATTTCAAACAAATGAATTGCCAGTGGGAAGGTTTGGTATATCTAAGGGTGGCGACATACGGTGTATTCTATCTACTTTACGTAAAATCATGAATAATGGATTACATTTAAATATTTTATGTCAAACACAATAAAAATAATATTTAAAAAACCTACCTATACATTTCTTCATAAATTGGCAGGCTTGGCGACTACTACTTCGAATAAAAATAGCGTCCAAGTTGCAAGACTATGTCGCTACCCCCTTAGATATACAAGAATTTCCCACTGGCACATATTGTTTGACAGGTCGTTGGAATGCCTAACTGTGATATGTGAATGGCTCTTAAATGTCAAATTATATCTCAATTCAGGCTTTCCATAAATAAAAGTACAGCAAGACAGATAATATAATGTTCTTATACAAAGCACTTTTTTATTATATAAAAGAGAGGTAGGATATAATGCCCATTTCAAATTATTTTGTTGTTTTTCATTTTAATTATAAAGTTGTCATTTATTTGTATGTTGAAAGAAGGCCTTTGTAAATTACATTGCTCTCTATATGGATCTACTTTAACACAAAAATAGTTTTGTGGCTATAAGTTGCTATAACCTATGGTCGCAAAACTATTAATAATTTAAACATAGTAAGTAGTATTAATCTAACATCAAGTAATTTTTTAAAATAAAGTACATGATCTCAAAAGAAATAATCTATAATAAATGCGGATTAAACGAGGGGTAAAATAATGCTCCTCTACCCTATTTCTTATTTTCTTGAACCAAGCCAATCGTCTTTTATTTTTGTGTGAGTAATGGTTTTTTCTTTAGCCTGCAATTATTTTTCATCGATATTTTGTAATTTAAAAACTTAAGATATGTTTAAGATGGTACCATACTTGGGGATCCACTTTTTTTCAGTTTTGCGACAAATATTGATCCGCTATTCTCATTACATTGAGAAGTTACTTCTCTCAAAGTGTCCCGCTATTGTTTTTCCAAATTTTACTTTTTGCTTTTTTCGTCCGTGCAACCATTTTTACCGTAAGAAATTATGATGGACTACACTACAAGTTCTGGGCAATTTTTGCCCTTTTCGGGTTTCGTACCCGAAGGGTAACCAACGGGACCCTATTACTTAGCCTCCGCTATCCGTCCGTCTGTCTGTCAGCGGGCTGTATCTCATGATCCCTAATAGGCGCGGAACCCTTCATGCGCGAGTCCGACTAGCACTCGACCGGTTTTTTACGCCTGAGACATACTTGTTTATGTTCAACCCTCCGAACATATAAAATAGCTGGGACTCGTTGCACACAATTTAAAATTGTTTTTGATGTTTTAGATAACTTTGGATAACGTAAAAGTACATTTAAATGAAGACAGGCCTCCTGTTAATATTACATCGCCAGGCCCGATCCCAATCGATTTACATATTAAACATCTTTACATAGTTCGTACTGAAGATGGGATATTTAATTTGTTTCCGAATTCCAATGATAAGTCTTCCATCGCCAATGGTGAGTTACGGTTCATAAAATTTCTTCTTTTAGTTATTTCATTCGTTTTTATCCCTGTAGGTCAACAATCAAACAAAGACTCGTCCCAAGTAGATAGTAAAACATTAAATAATGAAGACTTACGAAGACTGATGACGTTCGAGAGGATATCGGAGGAAAATAGGCTGCTCAGAAAGTCCAAAGAGGAAAACGACAAAGAGAATGACCTACTGAAGGATGTCCTAAAAAAATCCCAAGACGAAGTGATTCGGCTGTTGAGCGAGAAGCAAAATCTATTAGAGGAAATACGTCGACTTCAACACCAATGCAACGGTTCTAAAAGATAGCAATGTTGTTTCGTTTGTACGAAGTGTTTCTGCAATGATAAACGTACTCAATAGTTGTATAGGCTGTTTATTGTTTTATATTTTATCAGATGTCAAATATATATTATATATATTTTAAATTTTATCTAGATTATTAAGCTTAGAGTGATATTCATTGAAATAAAATATTGTTGAACATGTGGAACGAATCGTTAAGTTTTATTTCATTGTTCCCTAGAAGGATCTCTCCCCAGAAAAAAAAGTAAGTACATATACTCTGCCACTTCTAATGCACTGCCAGGCATAAAGTTTATTCTGTAAAACATACTTTAAAATTTACAGGTCTTTAAAAATTATATCTTTAGTCGCCCATTAAATTTTTTATTAAGTTTAACAAGGAGGTAGCTCAGTGGTTAGAATCAAGACTTTCGGATCCAAGAAGCCCGGGTTCGAATCCTACCCGGTGACGGAATTTTTCTAATTAATTAAAAAATAATTCTAATGCATGAGTAGGAATTACCACTCGACTATTAACTGTTAGGTTCTAATTAACAGTGCTGTTCCTAAAGTGGCATTGTGAAACAGTAACAAAGCCCATACTTAACACGACGATAATAACTTAAGCAAGTGATGCCGATGATACAATAAAAAAAGTTTAACAGCGTCCTCCATAAGTCAAATACGTTTGACAACATCTCATTTAAGATTTATTTGAATTAATATACGCATGAGAATAGTCCATTAAAGGAAAATTCTTATTTTTACAAACATAATTTTTTAATTTTTTTTATAAAAAAAATTTGAATCGCAATATCGATTGTTCTCTATACTGCGGCTCAACTAAATAAATTGAAAATGAAAACACAACTAACTGCAAGCAACCAAGTTAACTATATAAATAAACTCAGCTGTAATCGTAAGATTTCTTTTCGACCATGACACTGACAATCAATAATTCATCTGTCATTAAAGGCATTAAAGGAGCTGCTCAAAGACCGTTTTTTCATAAACCAAAAACTCAGATACCTGGCTCCTTAGAGGTGCCAACTACTTTTGCAAGGCAGGATTACAAACACCAAGAGCCAAGTATTTCCCCTCGTAAGAGTACTTGCAGTGTTTTTGAGATATGAAACTAAAGTCTATAGGCAATGCAACGGGGGATTGGAATAGAAAAAGATATTAATTGAGAAATGGGCTATGGAAATTTTTGAAGAAAAGACCATGAACAAACAGAAATTGACTCAAGACGATAGACTTTTGTAAGAAAAGAAAATACCAAGAACCTGTTGACAAAGAATTCGAAGGACATGAAAACGAAAACACAGAATGGACACCACAAATGAAATCAAAAGTTTCCAAGAACCCAAGGACAAAGAATTCAAGTGACATGAAACCGAAAATACTAAATGGACACCAGAAACAAAACAAAATACCAAGTGCAGACAAACAAAGAATTCGAACGAAATAAAGAAAACGCTGAATCGATACCAGAAAATAAAAACAAATACCAAGAACAGACTGGCAAATCACAAGAATAAAAAAATACCAAGAACAGACGAACAAAAAACTCGAATGACATGAAAATGAAAACCCTGAATGGGCACTTGAATTAGCATTAAAGGAGCTGCTCAAAGACAGTTTTTTCATAAACCAAAAACTCAGATACCTGGCTCCTTAGAGGTGCCAACTACTTTTGCAAGGCAGGATTACAAACACCAAGAGCCAAGTATTTCCCCTCGTAAGAGTACTTGCAGTGTTTTTGAGATATGAAACTAAAGTCTATAGGCAATGCAACGGGGGATTGGAATAGAAAAAGATATTAATTGAGAAATGGGCTATGGAATTTTTTGAAGGAAAGACCATGAACAGAAATTGACTCAAGACGATAGACTTTTGTAAGAAAAGAAAATACCAAGAACCTGCGGACAAAGAATTCGAACGACATGAAAACTAAAACACAGAATGGACACCACAAATGAAATCAAAAGTTTCCAAGAACCCAAGGACAAAAAATGCAAGCGACATAAAACCGAAAATACTAAATGGACACCAGAAACAAAACAAAATACCAAGTGCAGACAAACAAAGAATTCGAACGAAATAAAGAAGAAAAGGCTGAATCGATACCAGAAAATAAAAACAAATACCAAGAACAGACTGGCAAATCACAAGAAAAGAAAACAAAATACCAAGAACAGACGAACAAAAAACTCGAATGACATGAAAATGAAAATCCTGAATGGGCACTTGAATTAGCACTAAAGGAGCTGCTCATAGACAGTTTTTTCATAGACCAAAAACTCAGATACCTGGCTCCTTAGAGGTGCCAACTACTTTTGCAAGGCAGGATTACAAACACCAAGAGCCAAGTATTTCCCCTCGTAAGAGTACTTGCAGTGTGTTTGAGATATGAAACTAAAGTCTATAGGCAATGCAACGGGGGATTGGAATAGAAAAAGATTTTAATTGAGAAATGGGCTATGGAAATTTGTGAAGAAAAGACCATGAACAAAAATTAACTCAAGACGATAGACTTTTGTGAGAAAAGAAAATACCAAGAACCTGTTGACAAAGAATTCGAAGGACATGAAAACGAAAACACAGAATGGACACCACAAATGAAATTAAAAGTTTCCAAGAACCCAAGGACAAAGAATTCAAGCGACATGAAACCGAAAATACTAAATGGACACTAGAAACAAAACAAAATACCAAGTGCAGACAAACAAAGAATTCGAACGAAATAAAGAAAACGCTGAATCGATACCAGAAAATAAAAAACAAATACCAAGAACAGACTGGCAAATCACAAGAAAAAAAAAATACCAAGAACAGACGAACAAAAAACTCGAATGACATGAAAATGAAAACCCTGAATAGGCACTTGAATTAGCACTAAAGGAGCTGCTCATAGACAGTTTTTTCATAGACCAAAAACTCAGATACCTGGCTCCTTAGAGGTGCCAACTACTTTTGCAAGGCAGGATTACAAACACCAAGAGCCAAGTATTTCCCCTCGTAAGAGTACTTGCAGTGTGTTTGAGATATGAAACTAAAGTCTATAGGCAATGCAACGGGGGATTGGAATAGAAAAAGATTTTAATTGAGAAATGGGCTATGGAAATTTGTGAAGAAAAGACCATGAACAAAAATTAACTCAAGACGATAGACTTTTGTGAGAAAAGAAAATACCAAGAACCTGTTGACAAAGAATTCGAAGGACATGAAAACGAAAACACAGAATGGACACCACAAATGAAATTAAAAGTTTCCAAGAACCCAAGGACAAAGAATTCAAGCGACATGAAACCGAAAATACTAAATGGACACTAAAAACAAAACAAAATACCAAGTGCAGACAAACAAAGAATTCGAACGAAATAAAGAAGAAAACGCTGAATCGATACCAGAAAATAAAAAACAAATACCAAGAACAGACTGGCAAATCACAAGAAAAAAAAAATACCAAGAACAGACGAACAAAAAACTCGAATGACATGAAAATGAAAACCCTGAATGGGCACTTGAATTAGCACTAAAGGAGCTGCTCATAGACAGTTTTTTCATAAACCAAAAACTCAGATACCTGGCTCCTTAGAGGTGCCAACTACTTTTGCAAGGCAGGATTACAAACACCAAGAGCCAAGTATTTCCCCTCGTAAGAGTACTTGCAGTGTGTTTGAGATATGAAACTAAAGTCTATAGGCACTGCAACGGGGGATTGGAATAGAAAAAGATATTAATTGAGAAATGGGCTATGGCCTTTTTTGAAGGAAAGACCATGAACAGAAATTGACTCAAGACGATAGACTTTTGTAAGAAAAGAAAATACCAAGAACCTGCGGACAAAGAATTCGAACGACATGAAAACTAAAACACAGAATGGACACCACAAATGAAATCAAAAGTTTCCAAGAACCCAAGGACAAAGAATTCAAGCGACATAAAACCGAAAATACTAAATGGACACCAGAAACAAAACAAAATACCAAGTGCAGACAAACAAAGAATTCGAACGAAATAAAGAAGAAAACGCTGAATCGATACCAGAAAATAAAAACAAATACCAAGAACAGACTGGCAAATCACAAGAAAAGAAAAGAAAATACCAAGAACAGACGAACAAAAAACTCGAATGACATGAAAATGAAAATCCTGAATGGGCACTTGAATTAGCACTAAAGGAGCTGCTCATAGACAGTTTTTTCATAGACCAAAAACTCAGATACCTGGCTCCTTAGAGGTGCCAACTACTTTTGCAAGGCAGGATTACAAACACCAAGAGCCAAGTATTTCCCCTCGTAAGAGTACTTGCAGTGTGTTTGAGATATGAAACTAAAGTCTATAGGCAATGCAACGGGGGATTGGAATAGAAAAAGATTTTAATTGAGAAATGAGCTATGAAAATTTGTGAAGAAAAGACCATGAACAAAAATTGACTCAAGACGATAGACTTTTGTAAGAAAAGAAAATACCAAGAACCTGTTGACAAAGAATTCGAAGGACATGAAAACGAAAACACAGAATGGACACCACAAATGAAATCAAAAGTTTCCAAGAACCCAAGGACAAAGAATTCAAGCGACATAAAACCGAAAATACTAAATGGACACCAGAAACAAAACAAAATACCAAGTGCAGACAAACAAAGAATTCGAACGAAATAAAGAAGAAAACGCTGAATCGATACCAGAAAATAAAAACAAATACCAAGAACAGACTGGCAAATCACAAGAAAAGAAAAGAAAATACCAAGAACAGACGAACAAAAAACTCGAATGACATGAAAATGAAAATCCTGAATGGGCACTTGAATTAGCACTAAAGGAGCTGCTCATAGACAGTTTTTTCATAGACCAAAAACTCAGATACCTGGCTCCTTAGAGGTGCCAACCACTTTTGCAAGGCAGGATTACAAACACCAAGAGCCAAGTATTTCCCCTCGTAAGAGTACTTGCAGTGTGTTTGAGATATGAAACTAAAGTCTATAGGCAATGCAACGGGGGATTGGAATAGAAAAAGATTTTAATTGAGAAATGAGCTATGGAAATTTGTGAAGAAAAGACCATGAACAAAAATTGACTCAAGACGATAGACTTTTGTAAGAAAAGAAAATACCAAGAACCTGTTGACAAAGAATTCGAAGGACATGAAAACGAAAACACAGAATGGACCCCACAAATGAAATCAAAAGTTTCCAAGAACCCAA